TCTGGTCAGGTGGAGAGGTTGCACTCGCCTTGGACTTTCCAAGAGGGCGGCTGGTGTGTGTGTGTGTGTGTGTGTGTGTGTGTGTGTGTGTGTGTGTGTGTGTGTGTGTGTGTGTGTGTGTGTGTGTGTGTGTGTGTGTGTGTCGAGCAGGAGTGCATGGCATTCCTGCATGAGGCGGGGGTGGAGTGGGGGGGAGGTGTCACGTCTGTAGCGATGAAAAAGAGGGACAATTGATTGCTTTCTGGACGCGTGAGTTTTAACTTCATTGAAGCAAGAAAAAATCTGGTTCAAGTGCTTGGTCTCTGGGGATATGTAATCTATCAGGTTATTAGTCTTTTTGTCTGTCTGTTTGTCTCTCTCTCTCTCTCTCTTTCTGTCTGTCTGTCTGTCTGTCTGTCTCTCTCTCTCTCTCTCTTTCTGTCTGTCTCTCTCTCTCTCTCTCTTTCTGTTTCTCTCTCTCTCTCTTTCTCACTGTCTGTCTCTCTCTCTCACTCTCTCTTTCTCTCTGTCTCTCTCTCTCTCTCACTCTCCCTCTCTCTCTCAGATATTTATATACAAAAAAAAGAAAAAAAAAACGTATATAGATTGAAATATGTAGCGGATATGAGTTTGCAGAGAAGAAAATGTTCATGAGTGGATACAGATCAGACTAACAGATTAATTGATTTGGCAAAAAAGGGGTCTAGTTTACAATAACTAATCTCAAATATATTTCCTTCGCGATCAAGAAAAATGAAATATATATATTTCCTTCGCGATCAAGAAAAAGGAAATATATTTCCTTCGCGATTAAGAAAAATGAAATATGTTTCCTTCGCGATCAAGAAAAATGAAATATATTTCCTTCGCGATCAAGAAAATTAAATACATTTCCTTCGCGATCAAGAAAAATGAAATATATTTCCTTCGCGATCAAGAAAAAGGAAATATATTTCCTTCGCGATTAAGAAAAATGAAATATATTTCCTTCGCGATCAAGAAAAATGAAATATATTTCCTTCGCGATCAAGAAAATTAAATACATTTCCTTTGCGACCAAGAAAAGGAAATACATTTCCTTCGCGATCAAGAAAAATGAAATATATTTCCTTCGCGATCAAGAAAAAGGAAATAGATTTCCTTCGCGATCAAGAAAAATGAAATATATTTCCGTTGGGAAGTTAACACATATTAGCCTCATAATAAATAAAAGATAACTTGCAATGCCTTCGTGATAAAGAATAACAATTTCCTAAGGTAAATTGATATATATTTCATCAATACCAATAAAGAATTCATATATTTTCTACATAATTTTAAACAATAACTTATACTCCCTTAGATAAATGAATACACAAATCCTGAATAACAAATCAATTAATAACAAAAAATATAGATCCCCTTAATAATAACAATAAAAAATACCTATTAATTCCCTCAGGTAAAGTGATTCACAATTCTTACATATTAATAAAAAAGTACCTTAATTTGCAACACCCAGGAACCGATCCTGCAAAGGTCAACGACCCCAAATTCTTCATCATTGCATAATCTTCTTTGCAACACAAGATACCTCGTTCCCTCGCTGCCATAACGCTAGTCGGTGCTTTGTCGCCACTGGGTTGGATAATTGTACATTGTGCATTGCATATCGTTGCATATCTCTCTATCTCTATTGCATTATGGATAATATACTGCATGGCGTACATTATATTGTATCGTATTTTCTCCAAGGTTTGTTGTATTATACAGTAGGATATTCTTTTATATATCTGTTGTATTATGGCCCCTATACCGCATACATTGTATTGTATTATAAACTACATATGGGAAAAAGAATGCGAGAGATGCATAATGTATTATTAATCATCAATTGCATTACTGATACTAAACTATTTCTAATAGAGGGAAAAAGACGAAGAAAAAAGAAAATAAAGAAAAAGAAACGGAAAAACAGTGAGAATAAGAATTAGAAAGAGAATAAGAACAAGAAGGAAGAGAAAGAAAGAGAGAGAGAGAGAAAGAGAATGAGATAGATAGGTAGATAGATAGAAAGAGAAAGGGATGGATAGATAGATAGGTAGATATATAGAAAGAGAAAGAGAGAAATTGAGAGAGAGAGAGAGGAGAAAGGGAAAGAGAAAGAAAAATAGGTAGAGAGAGACAGATAGAAAGATCAACCCCCCACCCCCTAACCCCCTTCCCCCTTTATCCCTCCCCTTCCTCTCTCCCCCCTCCCCTCCCTCTCCCCCTCCCCCCTCATCTCCTCCCCTTCACCCCCTCATCCCTCCCTTCCCCCCTCCCCCTTCCCCTTCCCCTTGCCCCTCACCCCCTCCCTTCCACCCTCCCCCCTCCCCCTTCACCCCCATTCCCTTCACCCCCTCCCCCCTTCCCTTAAACTAACCTTGCACGACGCACTGATCGCAGGACTGGGCGCAGTGGATGTGCATATATCCGCGGTTCTTGTAGCATTCTCCTCGGTTCGCCCAGGTTTTGCAGGAGGGGTGGCTGTCTCTGCACGCTGGGGGGAGGGGGGAGAGAGAGGAGAGAGGGTTAGATAAATAGTGATAAAAATGGGGGGGTTAAAAATGGGGGTGGGGGGTGGGGGAGGTGATGTTAAAATGGGGGGGGAGTTAAAAATGTGATAATACTAATAATAATAATGATAATAATACTAATAATTATAATAATGATAATAATAACAATGATAATAATACTAATAATGATAATAATGATAATAATAAGTGATGATAACGCTGACGACAATAATATTGATGATCATGATAATGATATTAATGATGATGACTCTGATATTATTAATAGTATTAACAATAATGATAAAAGTAAAGATGACAGTAACGATAATAATACATACAATAGCAAAGAGCACGATAATAATAATGATAATAATGATAGCAATAAAAATAAGATAAACATAAAACAACATAAACTGATTTACATCGAACACCAACATTAATAAAAAAGACTATAATAACAATAACTGATAAAAACAACTATAAACTCCACAAAATACTATTTTTATTTCATTACTTACTTATTCATTCATTATTCTATATGATCTATATTTATTTTATATCTATTTTCTACATCTGTTCATAATTCTATATTATCTATATGTGTCTATTGATTTACTTTTTTGATTACCTATCAATATCTCATTTATTCATCTCTCTATCATTTTTTTCTCTCTCTATCAATTTAACTTTCCTCTCTCTCTCTCTCTCTCTTTAATTTCTCTACAATTTCATTTACCTATCCATTCAGTTCATTTCTCTTTCTCGTTCTTTCTCTCTCTCTCTTTTTCTTATTTTATGGACTGAAACTGAAAACCTGCCAATACCACATCTATGAATTCCAAAGTACTTAAATACCACGACTGAGAACACCCCATACTTAAATACCACGTCTGAAAACCCTCCAGTACTTAAATGCCACGACTAAAGGCCCCCACAGTACTTAAATACCAAATCTAAGAATCCCCAGTACATAAATACCACGACTGAGAACCCTAGTATTTAATTAAGACAATTAGGACCCCACTATACTTAAATGCCACGAATGAGAACTCCTTCCTTCCCTCCCAGTACTTAAATGCCACGACTGAGAGAACACCCAATCCCCAGAGTACTTAAATACTACGACTGAGAACATGAAATCACAGTACTTAAATGCCACGACTGAGAGAACACCCAATCCCCAGAGTACTTAAATACTACGACTGAGAACATGAAATCACAGTACTTAAATGCCACGACTGAGAACCTTCCCCCCCTCCCCAGTACTTAAATGCCACGACTGAGTACCCGCCAGTACCTATAGGGATATGCTGTGTATATAGGTCGAGGGGCGTCTGCCTGGCATGAGACCCGCGGAGGCAAAACGAAGCCTGGGATTTCCAAGGGTGGTTTTGCATTTTTATTACTTACAGGGTCGCCGATAAAGGGAGGAGAAGAAGGAAGAGGAGGAGGAGGAGGAGGAGGACGAAGAAGAAGAGGGAGAAAGGCGTGGATGGTATGGGAGAAGAAGGGGGGAAGGAGGAGGAGGAGAAGGGGAGGAAAGGAGGAGGAGAAGAAGAAGAATAGGTGGAACAAAAGGAGGAGGAGAAGAAGAAGAAGAATAGGTGGAACAAAAGGAGGAGGAGAAGAAGAAGAAGAAGAAGAAGAAGAAGAAGAAGAAGAAGAAGAAGAAGAATAGGTGGAACAAAAGGAGGAGGAGAAGAAGAAGAAGAAGAAGAAGAAGAAGAAGAAGAAGAAGAAGAAGAAGAAGAAGAAGAAGAAGAAGAAGAAGAAGAAGAAGAAGAAGAAGAAGAAGAAGAAGAAGAAGAAGAAGAAGAAGAAGAAGAAGAAGAAGAAGAAGAAGAAGAAGAAGAAGAAGAAGAAGAAGAAGAAGAAGAAGAAGAAGAATAGGTGGAACAAAAGGAGGAGGAGAAGGAGGAGGAGGAGGAGGAGAGAGAGACAGACAGAGAGAGACAGAGAGAGAGACAGGGGGAGAGAGGGAAGGAGAGATAGAGGACGGACGAGAGAGAGAGAGAGAGAGAGAGAGAGAGAGAGAGAGAGAGAGAGAGAGAGAGAGAGAGAGAGAGCGAGAGAGAGAGAGAGAGAGAGAGAGAGAGAGAGAGCGAGAGAGAGAGAGAGAGAGAGAGAGAGAGAGAGAGAGAGAGAGAGAGAGAGAGAGAGAGAGACAGGGAGAGAGACACACGCAGAGAGACAGAGAGAGACAGAGAGAAAGAGAGAGACAGAGAGACAGAGAGAGAGAAAGAGAAAGAGAAAGAGACAGAGAAAGAGACAGAGAGAGACAGAGAGAGAGAGAAAGAGAAAGAGACAGAGAAAGAGACAGAGAAAGAGAAAGAGACAGAGAAAGAGAGAGACAGGGAGACAAGGAGGTCGTCATTAAGGACAGATCGAGGCCGCGACCCAGGACCCAGCAGGAGCAAACCGGTCCCAAGGGCGTGGGTGGCCGACCTGCAGGACAGGGGGGTGGGGAGGCGGAAGAGGAGGAGG